TGATACGGAAAATGAGGTGAAGTACTGTTAGGACAAATACTTTCAAACTCATTCTTTGGGCAAATAAAATATTTTGGCACCTTTATGTCAACACCGGGGAGTGGAAATGCCTCAAAGAAATATTCTTCCTGTAAGGGTGACAGCACTGTAAATGATTCCTTACCACTCTAGTTCCAACAACCCAGAGGCACCGACATCACTGTGCGTATGAGAGCCACACTAATTTTCTAGTGTTACCTGCTACACTGCGAAATAATCTCAAACTCTTATCAAAGAGCAATGTTCAAACGCTGCCTGCAAAGACTTCCAACATTTTGGCCATATTTTTCTTAATATATGAAGAAAAGGACAACAAAGGAAGGAAAGGAAAAATAAGAAAAGGGTAGATGACATCTATGTCAGCCACTGGGCTGTGCCCCTCTCTCCCTGAAATGCTATGCACTCTTCTCTCAAAGCGACTCCCTGAAGATGGTCCCTTACTCTTGCCAAGTTATAAACAAGGCACTAAGGCTTTACATGAGTGGATCACCCAACATCACGCAGTTCTAGCTCTACACAGGCAGACCCTGGACTCAAAACCAGACTGCTCCACTACAACTCTCCCGACCCTTCTACTGACTGTAATTCACAGACAAGTATAATTAACATTACAAAAAGGACAGTGCAGGCAGACCAATCAACGGGGGACGGGAAGGGAAGGTGAGCTTCACTGACCAGTGAAAATCATTTCAGTGATTTTATGACTACATAGGACACTTTCATACAGAGTCCCTTTGACTTTAACAAGGCATCTGCACAAATCTCACTGGGTTCTAACAACCTATGGTGTGGACATACGAGATATTATCCTTAAGTGATGAGAAACATGAGACTCAAGTGGGAAAGTGACTTTTTCTGAGTCACTCATGCTACTAGCTGGGGAAACTTAGATATTAAGTTTTTCATCCCTAAGCAATTCCACCATACTATACTGTCTCTCTTGTAGCTGAAACATATTTATAGCCCCTTTGTGTGTTCCAAAAAACGGCCATAAACTGTGGGATCAATAAACCCTGATTTTTTTCACACTGTACATGCCCAACCCTTAGTCATTATTCTAGAAAGTAGATATTACTGAAGCTCAGAGAGGAAAAGTTACTTCGTGTGTCCAAACTAATACAGCTAAAAATGGCAGAGTCAAAACACAAGCTTAGATTTGACCCCAAAGTTTGCATGCTTTGCCTTTACCATGAATTGCCTCTGGGTCTCAGCTCTAATGAGTGACCCAGGTCCTAAGGTTTCTGATTTGTCATTAAGTGAACGAGACATCAGGTAGCTCCCAGTTCTAACATTCTCCTGTCAGACAATGCCAATGCAACACTTCTCCAATGCTGTCATTCCTGAGCAATCTAACCTAAGAGCCTGAGGACCTGGGTTGTCTCCCTGCTCCGCCCCCATCACCGAGGGACCTTGGGCAGCGTGTGCAACTAGCTTCTCAAAACATGGGAGGTAACTGTGTATCCACCTAAAAGAAGGAGGTGCAGATGTGCAAGGTCCTCTTCGAGGAGTAAGATTTCTCAGGCAAAACTGGTAACGTTTTATTTACAGTGAATTTTCAGATTACAAATGCATCCATATTCAAAATGGACATCAAAATATAAAGCTCTGTGCTTAGTTGTGTCCAACCCTTGTGACCTCATGGACCACAGCCCGCTGGGCTCCTCTGTCCATGGAGTTTTCCAGGCAAGAATACTGGAGTGGTGCCATTTCCCATTCCAGGGGATCTTCCCAACCCAGGGACTGAACCCACATCTCCTGTATTGGCAGGCAGGTTCTTCACAACCGAGCCACCTGAGAAGCCCTAGTCAAAATAAAAACTAAAGCAAAAGAGCTGTAAGTCAACAAAATCTCTCTCTTCCCTGTCACTGAACAAAGTGAAAATTAACAGCTACAGGTTACAGAAAAGGGAACTCCCCAAACTGCCCTAAACGGAGGTTCCCTATAGACAGGAGTCTTACTTAAGAGAAAGTTTTTAACCCAAAGCACATTTCACATAGAGATGGCTCAGTCGATCAAAACAGACTATGGAAATAAGCCTTAGGGACACAAACGTAGAATGGAACTTGGACCCATATCAGCACGGCACCCTTTGTTCCCCACTCAAAACACTCGGTATAAGCAGCAAAGAATCAAACACCAGATTTATCTTGGGAGACATATAAAAGGACTGAAATAAACTTGATGTTTCAGCTGAGGCTAAACTGTCAACAGCTACAATCAATGTAAAATGGATACAAGCGATACTTAAATTTCATACTAACTGAAATGGGAAGGTAAGAGGCCACCATGAGAATTTACAATTTGAAAGGGAGAAGGAGTAAGCATACCCAAGTCTAAAGATTTTAGTCAACTACTAAGAAAGATAACCATCCACAGTGCAGCAATTCTTAACTTCCCACAAATCTCACTGTGAATTTCACAAGATGAACTCTTTATTCAGAAACACACATGCATAAACTTCTGTTAACTGCAAAGGCTGTGGATCCCAGGAAGTCTCCTCCTGGGTTCTCCGAATCTCTGCGGGGAGCCTGGCCACTCTGGCCAGCCTCGCAGGAGATGCGGCTTCTGTTTCCAGCTCGGCCACCTTGTACCTCTTGTCCCCTCACTCTGCCACTCTGGATCCCAGCTTCCTCATCTGTCAAAGATAATCTCATCTCTCCTGACTCTCTATGGTGGAAATTCTAGAAGAGTCTACTGACATCACAGGAAGAGTGAGGGCTTTAGTAAAATCACCTCCTGATCATTTCTTAAATTGCTAATTATGACTCTTAATAGTCTTGAGAGTCCCTGGGACTGCAAGGAGATCAGTCAATCCTAAAGGAAGTCAATCCTGAATGTCCACTGAAGGACAGATGCTGAAGCTCCAATACTGTGGCCACCTGCTGTGAAGAGCTGACTCACTGGAAAAGACTCTGATGCTGGGAAAGACTGAAGGCCAAAGAAGAAGGGAGCAACAGAGGACGAGATGCTTGGACAGCATCACTGACTCAATGGACATGAATTTGAGCAAACTCTGGGAGACAGTGAAGGACAGGGAAGCCTGGTGTGCTGCAGTCCATGGGTTGCAAAGAGTGGGACACGACTCAGTGACTGAACAACAATTAGGACTTGGCACTTTTTCTAGGCTGCAGAACAGTAACAGCCAGAAGAATCTCAGTTCAGAGTTAGATCTGTGGTGGGTGCTCCCACTGCCCTACTGTGGCCGAGACTTCTCAAGTGGGCTTTCCTTTACCTACCCTCTTTCAAAAGGAGCCAAGCAGCTCTCTCACATGCAACAGAGGTGGCAGGATAAGGCAAAGCAAAGTCTCTCCAAAAACACACACTCTAGTTTCCTTAAAGCTGTGCTGCAAGAACGGTCTTGTGACATCCTCTCCCGGCATATAAAGAAGCTGTTGTAATCATTCTATTTCCCCATCTGGATGGCAATCCGTAACCAACTCTGCTTCCCAGAAAAACCTCTGCACTCTAAGATTGAATCTGGAGAAAACTGCACTTGAACTTCATGGCAGTAATATGGAGCTGATGGTCTCAACTTCTGGGACGAGGCCTGTCTTCCAGAGGCAGACAAGCAGAAGGAATCCAGTCTCTGGCCAGATGGTAAGTGCGAGGGAACGGAATGCGTTGCCCTCTGGAATACGGTCCTGGGAGAGCTCAAATATCCACAGCTCATCTGACATGAGGTGTGCCCCCTCCCACTGTCACTGGACCGGAGGCACCCATCAGAAAGCTTTCTGCAAGAAACCTGTTTGGAGTGACTGGGGACATTATAACCATGGGCAGGTAAAGGAAAACAAATAGCCCCCCACCCCCCTTTGTATAACAAAGTTACATTACATTGAGATCTCTTCTGGGCCCTTCCAGACTACCCCCCCCCCACACACACATTTTAGAATAGTAAAAAATAAAAGGCAACTAAATCGAACCTAACATGGGTAAAATACCTGAGAATTTGTAAAGACTCACTTAATTTACAAGGGTCCCTCCAATGCTAAAGAACACAGATCCAATGGGATTGATTCTTGCTCATGCGGTGGAAAAGATGGTGATAATCATAAAGCAGTAAAAAATACATTAAATAAAAGAAATTATAGCTGACATTTCCTGTTTTTTATAAATACTCCAAAGAAAAGTACTGGCTGGGTAGAATGGATACGTGTATATGGATGGCTGAGTCCCTCCACTGCTCATCGGAAACTATCACAGCTGTTTTTGTGTGATACCCCAATACAAAATAAGAAGTTAAAAAAAAAAGTGTTGGCTGTCCTAAAGCATTTATTTTTCTATTTACTCAAGAAAAAGGAAGAACTCATTGAATGTTTTGACGAACTGCCTTCCTTCCAAGCACTCTCTGAAGAGTCAGAAATGTGTAACAACCGGACCCACACACACACAGACAGGACTTCCGACAGCACGTTTCCAGGACAACTCGGCGGTTCTTGCTGCTCCTCGCAGGAAGGGACCACTGCTCTCAATTTTACTTACAGAAATCACACTCAAACCAAAACTTAGTGGTTCAGCATACTTTCTATATGCAATTATTAAAAGTATTTGTTTCGGGTTAACTCTTTCAAGTCTTAAAGACATATCAGGGAAAAAAGTACATGGCACAGAAAAACTGTCCCCTCTTGGACTAAGTTGGGGAAAACTGGATACCCTGGTTATAGAGCGCTACCCCTACAGACCAGACTTATTCTGAGTTTTTAGTAAATTTAAGAGGCAAGAAACAGTGAGGGCAGAGAAAGCTGAGGAAAGGGGAGAAAAGGGAAGGTGACTTACGCGCGTTCCTCTCAGACAATGAAGGGCTGAGCAGGAGCAAGCTTACCGACCTTCAGCCCAAGGCAAGGCTCACAGCTGAGGGTTTAGTTCCCAGAGAAGGCTGGAGATGCCACGTGGGCGGGGTTACTGTGAATCGGGGGCGGGGCCGGGGCCCAGAAGGAGGAAACGGGAGACGGCGCACTTACTCGGTCAGGAGCCGGTGCAGCTTGTGATAACCCCGCTCCAAGGCCAGGCTCACAGGTGTTGCTCCTTCCTGGTTGTGGATGCTCAGAGCTCCGCGGCCACCTGGCTTCTGCAGTAGGAACCACGTCAGCCTCAGCAGCCCCAGCCGCACGGCGAAATGCATCAATGTCTCCCGGGGGCCACCATCTGCAGACAGCCGACAAGACAAAGATAGGGAGGAGAACGTGAAAACTCAGAACAAAAGAACAAAAGGATGGTTCAGATCAACGCCACTGCCTCCAAGCCCCTGAGAGCATGCCATTAAGCCTCAACATACAGCATGAACAATTTTATCCTGGCCAAGTAGAATCAGCTCTCAAAGACAAAACAAAGCTAGAAAAAAGGGTGAGAGGCCAAATCTCCTATAGGAGACAGTCCTACAAAAGAGGAACCATGTCTATGTTCTGATTTAATGCAGACGTCAAGGGTGACTGCACACATATGGGAGGGGAGGGAGGGAGACAGAAAAAAATTTAAGAAGTGAATGCAGCCTCACTACATGGGGGTCAGGATCCAAGGGGAATAGCTGTTGGGGCTTAGATGGGTGTATCAAGAAGTATAATTACTTAAAAAAAAAAAATATCACCCAGAGAGAAGTTGGCTAGTTAAACACTAAAAACAGGTTCTGCTTGTTAAGTACACACAGGTCTTTTTATTCTCCCACATGAAGGCCAAATCAAATTGCTGGCAGTGGCAGCTTTTTCTTGTTGTTTGTTTAAGAAAGAAATGCATCTTCAGGCATAATAAGACAAACCGACTCCAAGATGATAGGCTAACAATTTTAGAAGGAAAAATATGTACCTGTTTGACCTGAAGCGAAGGCCCTTCTTGGTACAGAGTCACTCTGAAAGTGGCAGAGTGAGGAAGGACTTTGGAATCAGACAAACCTGGGTTCCCATTTGGCATTTACCGTCCGTGTGACTGGACACAACCCGTTTCATCTCTCGGAGCTCCCCTCCCTGCCTCCCTGAAGCCTGGTACCACCACGTCCGCTCCCATGGCCGCAGTAACAGCTCAGAGGGGTGGGCGAGACGCCTGCCAGGTGACGGCTGCAGCGGGTGTTCAGTGAATGTTGAGTTCCTGCCCTTCCCCGCTCTCTGGGCTGTCCCTCCTGACCTCCAATCACAATCCAGGTTCACTGGCAACACTGCGCCTTGTCTGACTTGGAATGATGAGGCTGGGCTTACCTGACCCCAGGGAGCACCACTCAGAGTCCGGAATGGGAATGGTGCCCTGGGGTTGTGCCTGCTTTCACCCCTTCAGCTGCACTAACATCTCTTTCTCCAAAGCTTCCCGGAGGCCTCGACTTACCCCACAGGGCACGCTCACCATTCTTGGACCCCAGTGTCTTCCCCTTACATTTAAGTCCCTGATGGTTCAGATGTGAGCAGTAGGGTAAGAATAAATGCATCGCAACTCTGCAACTGTACGTGAACTGCACTGTCTTCTAATGTCACACATGTCTTAGTCTAGTCTCCTTATTGCCGGGGGAAGTTTCCTGGGAGGAAACCATCTTCCGTATTTTACACTGTCCTTACAGAACTCAGCACACTAAATGGTTTATAAATGGTGGCAGAGGCATAAGGCTGGAAAGACATCAACACTACGGAAGGAACCAGTGCACGTGTGGGTGCCAAAGTGAATAAACAACTCGGAGCAGGTGGCCAGGCCAGAAGAAAGGACGGAAAGAATTTTCAGAAAAGATCAAGTATCACCACGTGACTTGTGCCTTGCGCTTGTTCACAGGCACTGACACCCTTACCAAATACAAAAAAGCGAACAAGGCACTGCCGGGGAGCTCGTGATTTTTTACAGACTGGTTAATCCGGCCTCACTAGCCAGCACCTCCTTAAAGCAGTTCTTCTGCACCCCAGTCTTCCTCATCCCTCGCTTGCTCTGAGTCAGCTCAGCCTTCGAAAGGCAGAGTTCCAATAACAAAGCAATACAGCTGCTTGAAGCTGGCACCCTGATTCCAGCACCTGGAGGACCCCAATCTCATCCTACAGTCCTTAGAAGCAGGTGCCACGTCCGCTTTTAGGTCGTCCCCTCCCTGTGATCAACAAGTAATAAGAACAGTAATATCTGGTGAAGGCTGCTCAATGCCATGCACTGGGCTAGGTGCTTTGTATTCACTCTTTACATTCTCACAATAACCCTATGAGGCCTCGTTATCCTCTTTCTGCGGATGAAGACAGGTTAATAACTGCCCACGGCAAAAATCAGCAAGATCTGAAGATGCTTCTGTCTTGAGTCTAGAAACCAATTCCTCTCTGTTACTCCACCCCATCTCTTTTTGTAAAAAAAAAAAATCAATCACACAAGCATTCTCATGCTGTAGCTTAAGAAGCACCTTCTCTTGTTTTCCTCCAAAAGTAATTTTTCTTACCTAACACACACTTTCATCATTGCTTTTGTTGCTTTCGTCTCAGTTTAAAAGCCAGAGGATCTACAATTTAGAATTGGCCTCTGCTCTGCTTTTTTCTCTCTTGCGATCTTTGTGTTTTCTCTGTAACCGTGAGAGCTGCTCAACTTTGTTGTTCAGATCACTAACTGCATTTCCTCTGATGTCAATTGGGTCCTTTGTCCCCAATCTGAATTTAATTATGCTATGGCTTTCTGGTTGTCCTTGCATCATTTAAGACAACGCCCTTCCATCTTTGCCCTCATTGTGATGGCTTTTCTGCAGATGTAATTAAAGGGCCTAATCAGTTGATTTAATAAGGAAGATTATCCTGGCTAATCTAGGAAGGCCTAACTGAACCAGCTGGAAGGCTTTAAAGACAGAGCTGAGATTCCCCTGGAGAGAGAAGAAACCCTGCCGGAAGAGGACGGTGTCAGCCTGTGGCCGTGGAGTCCATCCAGCGCAGGACCTCCCCTCCTGTCCAAGGAGGACAGCCTTGGCTCACACTGGTGGGCTGGAACTTGCCCCCATCTTCTCTTCTGCTCTCGCCCTCCAAATTTTGGACTTGCTTAGCTAAGTCCCTACAACTGTGCAAGCCATTCCCTGAAATAAACCTTAATACTTATCTTCCTACCGGTTCTGGTTCTCTGGTCGACCCTGATTAACACAATCATTAAACTTATTTTTTTCTCCCTCATTGCTTCCTTCTTATTTTATAACAGGTCTGACTTCTTCAATCTCTTAAAGGACAAATGAAAAACCTCTTCTGAATTTTTCTTAGGTTTCTTAATGAAAATTAGAGAGGGTCCCATCTGAATACTCATGACCCTTTTCCATTCCCTTTCTGTTTCACTGTTATTTCAAGGGCCTTATGCTGGTTGGTTGATTTTCCTGTTTAACTATTTTCAACTGGAAAAAAAACAGCTCTGTGGACCTGGGCTCAGCTTCCCATGGAGAAGGCAGGAGGAAGCGTCTTGCTTGCTACCTGCTCAAGTTCTGGAAGCCTCCCTCACACTCAGCTCGGCAGAGAAATGGGCTGTGCCCAGTCCTCGTGAGAGACGTCTGCACCTTTTCAAGTCATAGGATTTTCTGTCTAAGCAAAGGGTTCTGAATTCTGTAAACAAAACGGTGATCCAAGGCTACATGTGCTTTTCCTACCGCACTCAGCCAGCCTGCTCGCAGTGCACTTTGAATGTGTATCTGGGAGACTCCAAAGTCTCCGTTCCTCCGACTGTTCTGGTCTCCTCAAATAAACCTCAGGTCCAGTGTGATGCAGGAATCCTCACGCCTAGTGGGGATGGGCAACAGCAGGCCCATGTGAGAAGCGGGCATTTGGAAAAACGCCACTCGCAAACTTGTGAGAGAATCAAGGTCTGAGAGGCAATAAAACCTTTTGGAGCTAAAGTGCTCGATAATGAGGAAGCACCTGTCTTGGAGTCAGTCCTGTAGGTTACTATTATATATTATAAAATATCTTTACTAGCTTCTTTTCTTTTTTAGCAGCTATGAATAGGTGAAAATATACAAAAATTCTAGTAAGTGTAGCTAAGGAAAAATTCCATGGAAAGCTCAAACAATCTAGAAAAGGTACGGGAATTAAAAGCCCAAATGATTACCACTGTGGTTTCACTAACCAAACACCAGATACAAAGAACTGAGAACGCAACAGCTGTGTTTAGTGAGAACTGGCTTAAACCTGTCTCATCCTTCTCTCCACCCCACACCTCTCTGCCCCAGAGATGATCAGAGCTTCTCGGTTAGTTATACAACACCATGACTAAATAAGAATGTAGCTTTCCCCCAGGACCGTGCTCCTCTTTGCTTTCTTTAGAGCAGGGCTTTCAAGGCCCACCTTCTGTTACCAGAAAGTTATGTTGGCTGCTACTGTGCGAGGGTCTTTCAGGGGAAAAACCATCTTCGTTCACCCTTTCACTAACCACAGAGGTGCCGAAAACCCGAGACAACTCAGTGAAACCTGGTAGCTCAGAGGGAAGATACTCCCATCCCACCATTCACCCTCCATCCAGATGAACCTGTATTATTTGCCTTTAAGGCAGAACTAAGGCAAAAAAAGTCCAGTGCTTCATGTAACTAGGCATCAAAGAACACTGAAGAGGATAAAATGGACAAACTCCCTCTTGATGATGTATGCGTAAAGAAAGACTTTAGAAATAAGCTCAAAAAAAATCTCATTCTGCTTCAAAGAGGTTTTTTTTTTTTAAGTCCTTTTATAGAACATGCTGCTTTCCCGCATCAGAGCTCATCACTGTTTTGTCCAAAAGGTTACTGGATACTGGCCATGGCATACTAAAAATGAAGAGCCTGGAACTTCCCTGATGGTCTACTGATTAAGAATCCACCCTGCAATGCAGGGGACATGAATTCGATCCCCAGTCGGGGAACTAAGATCCTATATGCCGCCGGGGAACTAACCCCATGCGCTGCAACTGCAGAAGCCTGCATATCGCAACTACCAAACCTGCGTGCTTTAGAGCCCAGATGCCACAGCTAGGGAGCCCAGCATAGCCAAAATTTAAAAAAAAAAAAAAATTTTTTTAATAATAAATTTTTTAAAAGCCTGCAAACTAGCACACACTCCAGGATTTTTCCTCCATTTTAGAGATGAAGAAATTGAGAAACAGATTAAGTATTCTACACAAACTCTTGCAATGAAGACAGGATATTAACAAATTGACCCTGCAGCCCATGCTTTTTCCACTTTATGATATCAAGCCTAAGCCAAGAGTTTCTTTTATTGTTTTTATTTTAAATTGAAGGATAATTGCTTTACACTATTGTGTTGGTTTCTGCAAAACACCAACATGAATCAGCCATAGGTATACATATGTCCCCTCTCTCTTGAACTTCCCTCCCCATCCCACCCCCTAGGTTGTTACAGAGTCCCGGTTTGAGTTCCCTGCTAAAACCAAGAGTTCTTATTGTCATGTTCACGCCTGTGGTTCAGGGAGATTGACTCCTGAAACAATATGTAAAATTTTGCAGGTAGGTTCCTATGTGTATTTTTCCCTCCAGAGAAATCAGAGCTATTTCCAAAGGAGTTAGTGACCTGAGGAAAAAAAGTTAAAAAGCACTGCATCTAAACGATTAGAGAGGGAGGATTAACCATAAATCTTCCCTGACTCCTTTGTACAAGTATTAGGCTGGAACACCTGTAAACACCCAGCTTTCAACAGGAAACAGTCCAGTTATGTAACAAGTGCTCTATTTAGCTGCGTGATTACCCCAGGCACCAAGCTAACTTCTTCCTTTAAACATCTTTCAAAAAGCATCTGATGTGCAACTCTCTGCCCTAAGCAGACTGTTTCTTTGCATTTCTCCCCCTTCCCTGGTGGCTCAAGCAGTAAAGTATCCTCCTGCAATGCAGGAGATGTGCAGGAGACCCAGGTTCAATCCCTGGGTCAGGAAGATCCCCTGGAGCAGTGAATGGCAACCACTCCAGTATTCTTGCCTGGGAAATCCCATGGACAGAGGAGCCTGGTGGGCTACAGTCCACAGGATCAGAAAGAGCTGGACACCATTGAACGACTAAATCCACCTCCACCCAACAATAAGCAAGGACCTGTTATTGATGCTTTGTTTGTTGTTCAGTTGACTCTTCTGGGACTCTTCCCTTCTCCAGGGCCCTTTCTAGAGTATCATATAAACCTGAATCACACAGTAACTTTGGAAACTGACTTCTTAGTGCAAAACATTTAAAATGCATTCAGGTTCTTGCACATGTCAACAGATTGTTCCTTTCTATTGCTGAGTAGTATTCCATTGTATGAATGTACCATAGTCTGTCTGTATAGTCACCTAGTGAGGGAGATATGGGTTGTTTCTAGCTTGGGGTGATTATAAATAATGCTGCTATAGGTACATTAGGGCAAAGGTTTCTTTAGGTAAATGTAACTTTTCATTTTTCTAGGACAAAAAGCAAAAAATGGGAATGCTAGGCCACATAATAAATTAAACTTTATAGGAGACTGCCAAACTGTTTCCTGGGGTGGCTCTATTCCAGCAAGGTATGAGATACATTGTTTTGCATCCTCTGCCAGTGCCTGGTATTTTTTATTTTGGCCTTCCTAAAAATGTGTAACAGTGCCTTATTGTGGTTTTCAGGCATTTCCTTAAGTGTCCAAATTTGAGTTAGCCTTCCTGTACAAAAGAAACTTAAGAAGTACATGGAAAGTCCATAAAAATATTAAATCTGGCAAGCTTCCTATTAAAGACAGAGATGCTAAGGCCCAGAGAAGGGAAGGATATGTCTAACATCTCAGACCTGTGCTTTTTCTACAGTTCTTTTTAACCAGGTGACATGAACAAACTATCCAATTCCTGTGCCTTCTTTAAACAAGACAAAGCAAAACCACACAAAACAACTTTTAGCCCCATAAATAACTAATGCAACCCTTCTTGATACTGATTTATGAATGGCAACCAGAATAATCATTCCTTTTTTTTTTTCTCAGAATAATCATTCCAATCACAACACAGAAACAGCAGAGCAGGAGTGGACTTCCCTGGTGGAGCAGTGGATAAGAATCCTCCTGCCAATGCAGGGGTCAGGGGTTCGATCCCTGATCCTGTGAGCCACGACCACGGAGCCTGTATGCTGCGACGACTGAAGCTTAGCTGGAGCCCGTGCTCTGCAGTGAGAGATGCCACTGCAGTGAGCGCAGCCCCCGCAGAGACGCCCACACAGCACAACGAAGAGGAGCCCCTCATCGCGAGGAGGGAAAGCCCACAGAAAACGATGAAGGCCCAGAGCCATCAATCAACCAGCAAACGAATCAACACTGGAGGGGGGGGAAGCAGGCACTAGACATGTCGGATCAGAACACCAGGTTTCTGGGAAAGTGCCCACTGTCCTGTATAACGGCAAATCTTCTGACCTCTAGACCTCAGTAATGCAGAGGTTTCTTAGACACTGCTAAAAAGGAAAAGGATAAATGCGTTTTCCCTTCATTTGCGTATTCAAGGTTCCTTTTGTATTTTACCTGGCAGGAGTGCCCCTTCCTATCTTGACAGGAAGCCCCTGATAGTGGGGGCCCCTTCCTGCAGCTGGTCATTGCCCCAATGGTTAAATTCAGTGAGTCTAAGAGAACCAAAGCTAGCAAAACCTCGCTCCCTTCTTCCATGAGAACACCACAGCTATCTGACGGGTCTAGAGAGTGGGGACCTGAGCGCCCTCCCATTCAGCCTTGCTGAGCGCTCCTCCTCAGTCAGAGGCTACTTGCCTGCGGGAGGGCCGGGGCCTTCTGAGCGACCCCTTCATAAGGCAATAACCAAAGTCGAGAACACTGCAGGGCGGTCCTATGACTGTCCTGTTCTTCCAGAGATACAAGTCTAGAGGATAAGCAACCCCTTCCGGCAAGCCGACTGAAGTCAGCCTTTCCATTCAGTTTCTGCCAGGAACAGAGGAAACACTCTGATCTCTGTGTAACTCCTAAATCTCTCCATTAAGATCTGCACTCAGGAGGGAAAGACGACGCTGTTCGCTGGACTCCAGGTATGTGCTGCTTCATCAGATGTGTGTGTGTGAGTGTACAGACACACACATTCACAACATCTAATAGGTGTCATTTACCACAAGAATAATGACACAGGAAATCCCCATGAGAAAAAGAACATACATAGATACCTACTACATCACTGCTTTTTAAAAGGTGGAGCCCTGCCTTCCATGAACTCTAACGGGGAGAGAGAGCAGATGAAATAAACCAGAGTGAGCACGCTCTGGTTAGAAACCTGGGGAGAGCGTCCCAGGTCTCGGTTCGCTCCCCTGCGCGCCCCTCCTGATGACTCCCGTCTTTTCCTTCTTCCAACCTCGTGGACTCGCTAGAGACCTTGAGAGTACACTAATGAAAATCCTGTCTTTGATCTTTAGCACGGAGCGTCACACGTTCCTCTGCTGCCCTCTCACGAAGGACAGGCCTCGCTCACACACGGGAGATCAGGCGTGAAGTCCGGGCCACAGAAGGCCAACGAGCCGCCCTCTGACAGCTGCCGCTGCGGGTGAGCGCTCTGCGGGGTCGTCTCATGGCAAGAACAGGCCTGACAGCTCAGCAGGAGGACCCAGGAGGCCACTGAGGCCACACCGCTCCTGTAACGGCACAGTCTATGCAGCCACCATGGGAGACGGGAGACCATCCCCACAGGAAAGCAGCCCCAGCCAAAAACAGCGAACCCCAAGCTCAAAGGCTGCGCGTCATCCAAGGTCCTTACCGTGTGAGGCTGCGTCTGTCCCCAACACATTCCACTCCGCTGGCAGCTTCAGGTGCCTGAAGGCCAGGGCGACTTTCTCATCGAGGGAGTTCACGTCCGTGGGCGGGGGTCCTGAGCGATCCAGGAAACGGGTGAAGTTCAGGGCCTGCTGGTTGCCGGCGCTGGTGGCCAGGAACTGGGCTGCGTCGTAGGCCTCGTCCTGGACGAACTGGAAGTCCTCTTCCGCCACCACGAACACGGGCAGGCCCTCTTTGGAAGCGCAGAGCAGCACCTTCACCGTCTCGCAGCAGTCATGACCTAAGGAGACACAGGCAGCAGGAAGTCAGGTCAGAGCCCTCCTCCTGAGGACAGGGCGCCGGCAGGGATCTCAGCTCTTCCTGCCTGACATACATGCTCCCCCTCCTGAAAGGAACCCCCTCCTTCCCCCAAGCTCTGATAGCAATCTTCCACACTTCGCAAAACTCCATCTCTAACTCATTTTTCACAAGTGCTATTTGCAAATATCAATTGGTTCCCCTGCTGTTGTTCAGTACATCAGTCATGACTGATTGTCTGCAACCCCATGGACTGTAGCCCACCAGGCTCCTCTGTCCATGAGATTTCTCCAGGCAAGAATACTGGAGTGAGTGGCCATTACCTTCTCCAGGGGATCTTCCCGACCCAGAGATTGAACCCGCGTCTCCTTGTCTCCTGCATCGGCAGGCAGGTGCTTTACCGCTGAGCCACCTGGGACGCCCCGGTTCCCCTACCGGATAACAGATTAAGTTTGTATTCTAGCTGCCACCATGCTGGCAGCATAATGTTTGGCATTAACAGTCTTTGAAAATCTCAATATACACTAATTTGTTCAACTTGAGCAAATTAAAGAATGAAAGCTCAAGGAGCTTGCGATGAGGCCTAGCATCCAGTGGGAAGGCTCCTGAGCCACCCTGGATCTGGAAACCCAGCAGGGAAAAAGTCACTTCCACAGGTTACCCGGCAGGAACTGGACTGAGGCCCCAGCGCCCCGTGGACAGAGCCTGGCAGGGCATGGTCCATAAGATGGCAAAGAGTCGGACACAACTGAAGCGACTGAGCAAGCACCAAACAGGTGACCTGATTTCACTTTACTATTGTGAAGCAATTCAAGGCGGAGAAAGTAACTTTTGCTCTGAGATGCCCATTCTTTCCTGTAATGCAAAGAGAACTTCAAAGAAATTGCCTGGTTTGCACAGGGATGACGCAATGCCGGGGCCAGAGACCACAGTGCCCACTGCCCAGAGGGGCAGAGACTGCACGGGTTGTGACATCAGGCACCTAGCCACCCGCCACCCAGGGCGCTCCACTGGCGTCTAGACCGGGAAGGTGTGAGCACTGTTCCCGCAGGGAGGCATTCCTGGAAAATCAGATCTTCCCTGGGGTTTTCAGCCTCACAATAATATGCATTTCCAAGATGCAGAATGCAGTCATCAAAACACACTTTTGCTCCACCTTCAGGCACTGATCTCAGCTGGTTGGAACTATGTTCTTAACATCATCATTTCTTCCATAAATATCTTTCTGATGAGAAAAGAAACTGGAGTTGGTGTTTCTGTGTGAGCTGCGCCCCCTGGCGCGCTGCCTACGGAACTGCAGGCACCTGAGGGCCAGGCACCCAGGGACCACCCACACCCAGAGCCCTTCCTGGCTTCTGGATGAGCTGGAGGGTCTCTGAGTGCCACTCCCCAGACCACAGGCGCAGCCAACAGAGGCTTCCACCCGGCAGAGCAAACTAAGCTTTCTGCCGTCTTTGAAAGAGAAAACACTCATTTTTTTCCCCTGTGCGACCAACGGGAGAAGTAAATCAATATTCTATATACGCCCCCCACCACCCCCACCGTGTGTGTGTTAGCTGCTTAGTCGAGTCCGACTCTGTGACCCCGTGGACTGCAGCCCATCAGGCCCCTCTGTCCATGGGATTCTCCAAAGCAAGAACACTGGAGAGGGTAGCCATTCCCTTCTCCAGGGGATCTTCCCAACCCAGGGATCGAACCTGGGTCTCCTGGCATTGCAGGCAGATTCTTCACCATCTGAGCCACCAGGGAAGTCCCTTTCCCCCCAGAAGCCTCTTTAAAGGCTTTCCTTTGTGACGAAAAGTCTCTCACTGGTGTGTAATCTAAGGATGGGAAAAAGCACTGACTAACCAAGAACCTATGATACACCAGGCATCTGATGTGTCATTTTCTCAACACAACAAATTTATATGGTGTGTACTGTCCTCACGTTACAGATGAGAAAACTGAGACTTCAAGAGATAAACTGCCCAAATTCACACAACCATGAAGCAGAATCTACCAGGTCTGATGCTGAACAACATGGGGTGAGAGTTCAGTAAAGCATCGCTTATACATAAAGTAACAGTGACAGTTATGTCCCTGTCTGCAAGGAGTCCACCCTATACTTGGAATTTCAGGCCAGTATGACTATTAAAGCCAGAGGAACAGGCTCACGAACCCCGGAAATCAGTCTCCATATAAATGCATAACTCCACAAGTTGCTCCCACTGCCTTCCCAGCTGAATTCCTTCTAGAAAGGCTGTGGGAATCAAGCATCCTCTGCCCACATGCGCGTGGCTGTTTATGTATACTCAGGTATGCATTTCAAGTCAACAAATACGCTGAATGTACATCTATTACACAAAATGAAATTGGGGGGAAAAATATTCATCTTTCTTTGGAGGGCAGCCAGCCTAATTATATAAGACAACGTCAGCAGGAACAAATCAGCTGGTTCAGGTAGTTACAGTTCAGGTGGTTTTCCTGGCAGAAAATATTTCTTTGAAACTGTTCTGTTACATTTAACAACTAACATCTGGGGAGTTCCCTGGAGGTCCAGTGGTTAGGACTCGGTGCTTTCACGGCTCAGGCCCAGGTTCAATTTTTTCAGAGGGAAAAAAGGATTACTAATATCTATCTGGACGTCTACCAAGCTCAGGACACTGTGAGTAGAAGCTACACACACACACACACCCCAGCAGCAGCTAATCACAGGGATCTAAGCCCTCCAGACAGACAGACAGACAGACAGACAGACACACGCACACCCAGCAGCAGCTAATCACAGGGATCTAAGCCCTCCAGAGGTTTAAAGAAACACAAACCACGCCACTCAAGGGTGAGAAGCAGTGCATCTCACGATTTCACACGTGGGTGAAAGGTGGCAGTTAAGGGCCTCCCACACCACCCCATTTGTAAAGTCTTTATTGAATCTGTTACACTGTTACTTCTGCTTTTTATGTTTTGGGTTTTTTGGCTGTGAGGCACTTGGGATCTTAACTCACCGACCAGGGATCCCTCTGCACTGGAAGGTGAAGTCTTAAACACTGGCCTTTTCTGATAGGTGTCCTGCTCCCAACTCTCCAACCCCAGAGGTTCCTCACTGCAGCCCTCAGCACTCAAGACGCCGTCGGGCCCCATCCTTCTTTCCTACCTCTATCACTAATAGTAGTGATAATAATTATCACCATTGCTAACAATCTCTGTTCCAGGCACCATTCTCAGTGCTTTCCAAATAACAGCCCATTTAACCCTCATCACAGCCCTAAGCGGTAGGTACTATTATAATCCCCATTTGTCAGATGAGCAAATCAAGGCACAAAAAGGTTAAATATCTGGCCCAAAGTTCTAAAGCTCCTACAGGTGGTAGAATTATAATCTGAACCCAAGTTTCCTTGCTCTCACGTCTGCCCCGACACCAAGACTCACAGAGACAAGAAGGCTTGAAGAGGAAACGATGCTACCATGGAAGAACCAATGGGAAAGTACGGACAACGCCAGGCTCAAATCCTGGCTGCGGGGCTCCTACGCTGCCTGACCTCAGACCATCTCTGCTTCTTCACATACAGCGTGAGTGAGCTATGGTGCCTCCAGCTGGACCAGTCTGTGGGTTTTACCAGGCAGAAGGCGAGGAGACAGAAACTCAGGTCCCAGGAGTAGGAAACAGTTTCAAAAACGTAAAAATGGAAGCAGAGTCCAAAGGACGGAATAACTGCTGTAAGACACAGTGTCGGTAAGAGGACTAATCAGGCTACTTCTAGATGCTTCGTGTGGGGACAGACCTAGGTTTAAACCTAGTTTCTTACTTCCTAGACTGTGTGGCCTGAGATAAACAATAACCTCTCTAACACTTTTAAATCTACAGAGTACCCTCATCTTGAAAGTGAAGACCTAAAATTTAGAAGACTCCTCTCAAATTCTTTAATACTTATCACCCCCAAACAACATACACACAGCCTCATTTCATTTCCAAATTAAACAGACAATACATATTTCTGTCAGAATAACTATAGCTGACCCTTTAACAAGACAGGTTTGAACTGCATGGGTACACTGATTATGTGGATTTTCCCCCACATGTATGTGCTTCTGTATTTACGATACAAGATTGGCTGATGGAACCATGGACACGGAGGGTGGACGAAGGGACCAGAGCATCTGCGGATCCTGTTATCTGTGGGGCTCCTGGAACCCAGGCCCCTGCAAATACTGAGAGGCAACTGAACAATGTGATGGTTCTCACTCACGAATCTCACCACTAATAACAGCATTTCCCATTTATTCAGGGCTTCCCAGGAAGCTCACGCTTAGTCCTTCAAGGTTACTTTTCTTTTTTAAAGAGAACTATTATGTATGTGTGCACATATGTATACACATACATATAACACACACACACAGGCTACATATAAACACACACACACAGGCTGTATGCACATATACACGCTTCCTTGGTGGCTGAGCAGTACAAGAATCCACCTGCCAATACAGAAGATGTGGGTTCCATCCCTGGGTTGGGAAGATCCCCTGGAGAAATGGCAACCCACTGCAGTATTCTCGCCTGGGAATCCCATCGACAGAGGAGCCTGGCAGGGGGTCGCAACAGAGTTGGACAAGACTCAGTGACTGAAGACCAACAACAAAGCTCATTTTAAAACTCCTGACAGTCCTTCGAGGTAACTATGAATAAATGTCAATAAAAGCTAAAATCTGAGGTTTCGCAATTCAATGATGAGAATGTGAATAATGTGGGATCCAAACTGAATTCTACCTTTAAACACACTTTAAGCAGAGATCTTACACTAACCTAACCTACAGTAGTAATACCCACTGCCCTACCCAGCTTTCTCACCGTCTCCTTCCCCAAGCCTGGGCAGAGGTGTCTGAGACCCCGGGAGCCAGGTGTCACACCGTCACCACGGTAAACATCAGCGCTGCTCTGTGAAGTCACCTCCCGTGTATACAGGGGCCAGGCCACCGTCCAGGTCTTCAACGTCCTCTCACACT